GAGCTTTTGCTATGGCTGCACTGGGCAGCCTAAGGTCTGTTGTACCGAAGTGCTTGCTGTGTGGGGACATGGGTGGTCAGAAAGGGCTGATCAGTGGGCCTTTAGTTGACACCCTTCACTGGCAGCAGTTGTGATTTCCAGCACTCGTCCCCGCCTGCACAGCAAAAACAGCCCCACGGGTCCTTCCATCAGCACCCTCTTCCCTCCTGCCGGGTGGCATCCCAACAGCCAGCCTGGTTCCATCCTGGGCACGCCTTGGGCAACATGCCCACGCCCCATGGCCCTTCCCTGGGGACTCGGGATGCTCTTTCTCCCTGGTTGCTGTTGAGTCGAGCACCTTGGCTTCTCCCCAGGGAGGATATGATGGGTGTGCCCACAACAAGTCTCCGGCAGAGACAATAGGACAGGAATGTATTCGCTTCCGAACAAACACTGTGTGGGCTCGCACAATTGCCTTGGATTCTCGTCCAAGAAACACATCTCGCTGTGCGAGGGCGCGGGTGGCTTGCCTGCCCCAGCCCGCCCACATCCCTCTCTGTGCCAGAGACTCCAATCAGGGGCCGCCTCTCCCACCAACCCAGGCCTTCAGCAGCAGGATGGGCATGCTCGTCTTCCGTCTGTGTCACAGGAGAGGAACAGTTCTCCTGTCAAAAGATACCTACTCTGGCCACTGCCTTTGTAACCATTTTTTTTAATTATGGAAAGATACGCAGAACATAAAATTTATCCTTTGAGCAATTTTTAAGTGTACATTTCTGTGACATTATATCCACTCACATTGTTGAGCAGCCATCCCCACCACCCATCGCCAGGCTTCATCTGCCGCTGAAACCCTAAGCTCCCCATCCCCCGCCATGGCCCCTGGCAATCTGCTTTCTGTCTGTGAATGTGACTATGCATTCTAAGTTCCTCGTATACATGGAATCATACAGTATTTGCCTTTCTGTGCCTAACTTCTTGAAAGTTCACTCATGTGGCAGCCTATGTCAGAACTGCGTTCCTTTTTAAGGCTGTGTAATGTTTCGTTGTGTGCATGGACCAGTTATTTGCCCACTTGTGGACACGCGGGTTGCTCTGCTTCTTGGCTGTTGTCCATCACAGTTAGGTGTATAAGTACACAAGTACTGTGTCCATTCAAGTGGCCACTGCTTTTTGAGATTCATCTTTGAGTTGCAAAATGCTGTTGTCTTCTGAAGATCCCAAGTAGAACAGTCAGAGATGAGAAGGCTGCTTGGCCTCCTCCATGTAGCACAAGATATCTCTTATCCCCAAAACTATCTGTCCCATAGGAAAACATCCCTGAAGACATGGGACACAGAACAGGAATTTGGGGCCAGGGTAGAAGAATGGAAAGGTTCTACACTTAGAATGATGTCCACAAAGGGCAGTTCCAGTGGGGTGTTTTGAGGAGCCCAGGATCTGGTACTGAGCAGGATTCAGAGAGAGAGCCCTGTAGGGAGCAGGAGGCAGCAGCATCTTCTTATACACAAAGAACAGCAGACCTGAGGGCCAGTGAAGTTCCCTCAGGGGCTGGAGGTCAAGGCTGAAGGAGTCATCCTACACTGTCCCTGCAGCCCCAAGGCCCTGAGAGTCCACTCACAAAAGCTGGCATGAAGAGGTCAGGTCTGTGTTTGTGGAGAGGACAGGACATTGTCTGTGGCCACCAATCCTGTCACATGCTGTCTGCATTTCAGCAGCTGTGAAGGAAAAAGAAAATGCAAAGCTCTCGCTCTCCACGGCTTCCTTGAGAAAGCCCAGCAAGCTGTGTGCAGGGGGCTGGCCACACAATGTGATTTTTGGCTGCGCACAGACTTTCCAAACAACCAAGCAAGAGATAAGGGTGGAGGAGAGAACCCACCGCAGTCCTGCTGGAGAATCCTGGTCAGTCTGTCCCCTGCCCTGGTAGTCAGGGACCCTGGACCCTGCCAAGGAGGAAGCAGAGGCAGTGGCTCCCGGGAGCATGGCTGTGGAGAGTGTGGGCCTACCGAGGGGCAAAGACAAGAGGAAAAAGAGGAGGAGTGCAGACCTGCAGAGAAGCCCTGGTCCCATGGCACAGGGGAGCCAAGGGCGGGAGGAGGCCATGGGCAGCAGCCAGAACAAGGAGGGGGCCCTGGCTCATGGGGCAACATGCTCTGTTGGCAGCACCAGGAGATTTTGCAAGCTTCTCCGTGCAGTGTCAACCAGGTCTGAAGACCCACTGTCCATGGGGACAGAGAGCTGTTTTGCAACAGCAATCCCTTGTCAGACCCGGGCTCTTTGAAGAATTTTCCATTACGTTACCTCACTTGTCCTTCAACCTCAGAATTTGCCAGCCCCTGGGGGAGTAACTAGGGGCCCTACAAAGCTGGTCAATGGATAGAACAGGGCCCAGGAGAAACCTGGATTGAGCAGCCACCATGTGCCAGCCGGTACCAGGTGCAGCCCACTCTCCACCTTCCCACCGGCTCTCACATTCTCTTCTCCGCCCAGCTGTCACTGCCCACTGTCTCGGGAACTTCTGCCACAGATCCAAAACCTTCCCCCTTTCTTGTGATTTCCACTAGCAGCTTTTATTTTAAGGATTTTTTTTTTTCTGCTAAGTGCCAGGGGAAACATCTGAGAGAAATTTACCATGGCAGGCTTGGGATATAGCTCAGCAGCACTGTGCCTGCCTGGCAAGTGCAAGGTCATGAATTCGATTCCTGGTACACACAGAAAGAAAGAAAGAAAGAAAGAAAGAAAGAAAGAAAGAAAGAAAGAAAGAAAGAAAGAAAGAGAGAGAGAGAGAGAGAGAAGGAAGGAAGGAAGGAAGGAAGGAAGGAAGGAAGGAAGAAAGAAAGAAAGAAAGAAAGAAAGAAAGAAAGAAAGAAAGAAAGAAAGAAATTAATTTACCATGGCATGAAGTTCCCAAAAATCACACACAGCTCCTCTTGCCTTGTCCCCCTCTTCTCTGTAGACTAAGTGGGGTCAAGTCCACCTTTCCTTCTGACCTCATGTCAGACAATCATGGAACCCATGAATCCCTGGGACCTACCCCTGTCAGAGTGAGCTGGGTTGGATGCTGGCTCAGGTAACTCAGGGAAATCTGCTGCATGGTGAGCTCTTCCCCAGCTATTTCCACAGCCTGCCTTCTGGTCCTCTCTCTGGCCTCCTGAATCCTCCAGATGAGAGACCCTTCCCTTTGCAGCCCCCAGGTGCTGGCTTGATAGAAAGCCTCCTTTGACTGTCCTTAAGATTTGCAGTCCTGGAACTAGAGACCAGAAAACTCCAGAAGTAGACCCATGTGTGGGATTACGGTTGTGTGCTACAGCTTAGTCCATTGTGCACACATGTCAGGTGGACGTGCAAAGTGCTTTGTTCTTATAATAGTGCCTGTGTTGTATGGCTTGTATATGGGTACATAGGCAGGAGAAATTTCTAGAAGTAAAACTTTGAGGTCAGAGGGTATGTACCCCTGCCATGTTGATAATTACCATCAAGTTGCCATTTATAGAGTTGCTGCTCCACCCTATACTGGAGGTCAAATCCAGAACCTTCCCACTGAGCTACGTCCTTAGCCCTTTTTTTTTGTTTGTTTTTGTTTTTTTTTTTTTTTTTTTTTTTTTTTGTATTTTTAATTTTAAGACAGGGTCTGGCTATGTTGCTAAGTTGTGCAGGCTAAGCCTGAACTTGCAATCCTCCTGCCTCAGCATCCCAAAGTGCTGGGATTACAGGTCTGCACCACCACACCTAGCTGAGTTGTACCAATTACCAACTTGTATCTCCACATGCATGTATGTTTACAGAAGCTATTTGTTAGCAAATATTCTCCAAGAGCTTTCTAGGCACCAGGTTCGGCACCCAGCCCTGCCCTCTGAAGCTTCCCTTCTTTTGGAGGGAGACAGAAAACAGGCAAACAGGTAGACAGTGCGTTGGGGGAGCATGAGGGTGATCAGGTCTGCGCAGACTGTTCAGGGCAGGTCTCTCTGATGAGATGTGCTCAGCCTAAGCTCTGCACAGGGTAAGGTGCGGTCTGCAGCTCTGGAGTGGCTGAGAATTCCTGGGGACAAGAGCACAGAAGCCAAGTTGGAAATGTGGTACATGCTATACCATGGAGGAACTCTGTAAACATGAAGTGAATACAGCTAATTACAAGCTATGTACTATCCTATTCCCTTCCACGGATTCCTCAGTGTAGCTTATGTCCAACTTAGGCAAATCCACAGAGACAGGATTCTTCCTGTCCTTGGGTGTTACCAGGGGCTGGAGTGAACCAGGAATGGGGAACAGCTACTAGCAGGTATGGATTTCTTTTAAAGGTGATGAAAATGTTATGGAATTTAGTGGTGGTAATCTTTGTCTGACTCTGAACATGCTAAAACCCACTAAATTATGCCCTTTGCAAAGGTGAAGTTTATGTTATGATATGTCAGGTTTATGAATTAGATCTCAATTTAGAAAGAAATAGAATGTTCCAGGCAGGTAAAGGGAACACTGGTTAAGAGTGTATCCAGGCCAAGCGTTGAGTAGCCTGGCCATGGCCCCAGTTAGGAAGCACTGTGGTCTCTAGATAAACTCAAAACTCATGGCCTTGGTTTTGAAAGATTGCAGTGTTGGGCTAGTGGAGAAGAATGCTTGCTTACTGGACATCCTCCCGTGGCCAGGCCCATGGGTGCTAGCGCAGTTGGCTAAGCTTCATCACGCACAGGCTCACCAAGTGGACAAAGCTCATTGCATTCAGCACACCTGCCACCACCTTCAGACCCCGGCAACCCTTCTCTATGTAAGCTTCTACTTGCATTATTCTGACCCAACCAGGACTTAATACTGTTCAGTGTCCTCCAGCTGCCCAAAGCCATCAGAAAACCCACCACTTCCGGGTGCACTTTTCATTCTGCCTTCCAATCTGCATGGACTCTTGCTCCAGCCTGGCCCTCAGAAGTGTCTGTCACAAAACAAAAAATGAGGACTGGGTCTGGAGTGACCAGAGCAGGACAGCTTGCACACCCTAATTGATTTCCTTTCTGCTCCTTTCTTCACAGCTCCTACAGTCTCAGGATGTGAAGGAAGATGCTGTCCTTTGCTGCTCTATGGAGGTAAGCAGTGTGGCTCAGGTATCTCTCACACTCACAGTTGCAGGGACTGAGGTCACTGGAGCATCCACAGATCCAGGGAAGTGTTTGTTGAGTGAGGCTGGCGGGACAGGGCGGGCCTCTTGAGTGGACATGGACTGCTGCACCCAGAGCCACCCACCCTAAACCAGGTAAGTGCTGATGATGACAGCCAACGTAGAAGGTGCTACCTCCATCCCCAAGGTGTGCCCGCTGTTCTCTGACATCCTTCCTCTGGGATCTCCTGTTACAGCCTGGCTCTGGCTGGTCCCTAGAGCATATCTTTGCTCTCTGCAAATAGCTCAGAGTGGAGTACAAGGAAGAGGGACATCCAGCTTGGAGCCTCAGTCTGCCAGTACTAATGAGTGTGCCATAATGAGTGTGCAGCTCTGCCCAAGCAGTAGAGGAGCCCAGAGAACAAAAGTGCCAGGAGCCTAGACAGAAGCCTTGGGTGTGTGAGATGGTCACTTATTTCATTTGTTGGACTCCAGCCATACAATGTAGTGTTCAAGGAGAAGGGCTGGAGGAGGAGAAGGCGTGGTCCCTGCCCTCAGACTGCTTCCAGGCTGGTTAGGGGCAGGTCCCACACACACGCTGGGTGGAGGACTATTTGGAGTATGTGTCAGTACAGAGCGCACATGCAGAGTACAGGCAAAGTCAGGAGACAAAGGTCAGCATGGACCCAGGAGGTCAAAAAAGACTTTGTGAAGAAGGCAGATTTGATAGTTGAGTGAGAGGACAATAATAGGGACCGAGGGAGCCGCTGGCTGGTATTCACTGGTCCAAAAAATTGGAGCTTCTTTCAAGGAGTGTTTCAAAATTATGGAGTCTTTCAAGACCATCCAGCTGGCCTTCTGCCCTAGTTCATATTTCTCTCCTCCCTTCATCACAAGCAAGGGCAGAGGTTGGTTTGGGGGCTGGAGAGAAGGGGAGAAATAGGAGAGCTCATCCCTGCTCTCAGGTTCCATCTCATATAGGCACATGCAGGTAATAATGACTAAGCTCATTTCCAGAGACCTCCCAGCAAGGGGAAATTAACACAGAGCCACCTGATCACCCAAGGGAGCAGATCCCTGGGGCCACTTGAGGATGTCAGTGTAGTCAGGGAAGGCCCCCTGTAGGAGGGGAGTCTCATGCATAAAATGGACAAAGGATGTGTTCCCAATGAGGGCTCCTTGGGGCCTGGGCAGCAGATGATATTCTGACTCCTCACATTCCTGCTGGTGGACTGTTATTCAATGTAGGACTACACAGGTGATTTTCTCACCTGGGCCTGCATGGCACTAGCACAGTCCAGTTGTTTCTTGCCCATACCCCCAGCCCATCTACTGAAGATGGTCATTAGGTCTTGTCCTAATCGGCCCCCACTTCTCTGCCTGCAGCTACAGAGCACAGGGCGACTGCTGGAAGAGCAGCTGCCCGAGATGATGACCGAGCTTCTAGCCAGTGCTCGAGATAAGATGCTGTGCCCCTCAGAGTCTATGCTGACCCGGTCACTGCTCCTGGAGGTCATCGAGCTTCATGCCAACAGCTGGAACCCTCTGACGCCTCCTATCACGCAGTACTACAACAGAACCATCCAGAAACTGACAGCCTGACAGCCAGGAGGCCTGGCGAGCAGCCCGTGGGCAGCTGGGGCCCTGGTGCACAGAGCCAGATGGACAGGCGGGAGGACAGGGGTGGCCTGGTGGGAGAAAGAAATGGGTAGGAAGGCAGGCAGAGTCAGTGGCCAGTCTGGAGCCAACCGGAAAAGGGATCAAATCCCTAAGAAGAACACCCCGCCCTACACATAAACACCCCCACCCTAGCCTGAGCATGTGGCAGCTCCCACCAATAAGGGAAGCATGTTTCTTTTCCGTGGTGGCCCTGGCCCGAGACCTCCCTCCTTCCTACCCCTCTTCCCCCCTGCCACCCAAGCCATCCACCTCAAGCAGAGATCTCATCTCTGCCACTCTTCGGAGGCCCCTGCCCCGCCCCCAGCCTGAACACCAGCCTTCCACTCCGGGGCACCGCTTGGGTCAGAAAGGATCTCAGAAGGCTGAAAAAGTGGGTCGAGACGGGCTCCCATTGTTCCCTGCGTGCTGTCAGCCGCAGTCGCCAACTGGCAGCAGGCAACATGTAGCAGATGTCCGGGAGGACAAAGGCAGGCACGGTCCCCACCAGCCGCCAGTAATTGACGGCCTTTGTCAGCCACAGTGGAGCTAGGGAGAGGCGCTTTTCTCTAACCTTCACACCCCACCCTCCCAACCTCAGTTCCTCGAGCCTTGGGCCCCCAGCCCAGGCCTAGGGGGCTGGCAGCCGGGAGGGGAGCTGGAGCTTACAACTCAGCTTGCACCCTTTTCTTTTATTGTGTTTTATTTTTCAAAAGTTGGTTGCTTTGAAGTCTCTTCTCTCAATGAAAATATCCTCCATGTGATCACACAGTCAGCTCTGCAAGGACCCCCTGATTAATAGGAGATCAAACCTGGCCCGCTCTGGAAGGATTCTAGCCATAGACAGCTTGCCAGTAGCCAATTAGGGTAATTGGAAACTTCTGCCCTGGTGGGGGTCCCCTGCTGGAATCCTGTGTTCCTCCCCGCCTGGCCTGCAGCGACTCTGCTCTCCAGTTTCTGTCTCTCAAAGGACATGGTACTGAGGTTGCTGGACTGCATTAGACCTGGTCCTGGCCATGGAGATCTTGTGGCAAACAGGGCCCAGAACAAGGCTGGCAAACTAAAACCAAAATGAGTCTTGTCCCAAGTGCCTAGTGGAGAGAAAGATGGAGCGGGAGTTGCCTGCCTCCCCGGGACTTGTCTAAGTCATGGGCTATGTCACTGCCCAAGCCCAGGCAGGATCCAGAAGCCCTTCCAGCTACTGGGAAAGGCAGGAGTCATTGAGTCCTAAGGACAGTCAGGTAGGCTTTTCAGGCTGGGGTTTCTTGGACAGCCTGGGGAGCACCCCTTTCTGTGATGGCTAGAAAGGTCAAGCTCGGGGATGCTGGCATCAAGATCACAACCAGTGTCCACACAGTCCCTGTCTGGGGTGTAAAACCTATGCTTTGATGAGCCCTAGAAAATGCCATCGGAACCCAGCAGCTTCCTGATTTGCTCCTTCACTGAGGTTGGTCATACCCTAGATCACATTGGAAACCTCTTCTGGCCTCCCAATCCGAATCAGACTGGCTGGGAGCTGAAGGGTGGAGAAAGTTTCTGTTGATCGTTCCTGAGGCTAGGAAGAAGGTCCCCATTCCGCCTGGCTTTGCACCACTGAAACTGGCCTTCCAGCTCTAGGGTGGGAGCCTATGCCAGTCCTCCCAAAAAAGCCTACTTGGGTTAGGGTTTGGGAGGTTACAGTTTCCCTTTAAATAGGTCAATGTCCTCTGCCAAGAGGCTCACACTGCCCCTGGCAGGCCCCTGACCCCTGCCTTCTTCCTCCTCTACTCCTCCTCCCTCCCAGGCTTTCTCAAGCTGCTTCTTATTGCTTTCTCTCCTACACCAGCCCTTAGGCCCAGCCTGGAGCCTGGGGACACCAGGAACCCCACAGGAGGGCTTGAAGGAAGAGTCAGGCTGATGTTGGGATGCTCGGAGAGGGCACTGGGGAAATCATGCTCTCATGGAGTCAGGTAGCCCTGGCCAGGCAGCCGCTCCCTGCAGCCTCAGAGGGCCACACCTGTGCTAGAAGGGCCCCTCTTCCCTCAGGTGGGGTGTGAGTGTGTATGTGCGTGCGTGCGTGTGTGTGTGTGTGTGTGTGTGTGTGTGCAAAGAACAAAGCAGGGTCCCCAGAAGACAGAGGTCTGAGAGTTGGTTCTCCCTAGACCCCTCACTGGGCTCATAGGCAGACTCCATAAAGGGGGCTCCCAAATCCTGAGTAGAGGGGCTAGTGTCCCTTGTGAAAGTAAGAGACAGAGGACACTGGGCACCAAGGGTCACATGTGCCTCCCTCCCGATGGCCTGTCGGATGGAGGTCTTGCCTCAGGTCCAGCCCCTCTTGGGCCGTGAGGACTAGTGTGAAGATGTGAGGTATAAATATGTATTATATATAAATATATTTTTAATTACGTGTTGTGTCACGGTGGCTCCAGACGTACAGTTTGCCTAATTTGTTCCACTGCTTGAAAGCACTTCCTGGCCCATCTGAATAACACTTTTGGCTGTTTTTCTAAATGCAGGTTGCTGCTACTTTTTCAGACATGGAAGGAAAACATTAGGAAAAAAAAAATTTTTTTTTTTTAAAGAAACAGCAAAGCCTAAAACTGGGGCAACTTCCCATGGCAGATGCTCAGACAGGAACTGGGAGGCAGAAGTGGGTGCCCCAGAGATGCCTGCCCCTTCCCCATGCCAGAGCCCCCTCTGCTCCAAAAGAAAGGCCAGCTGAATGTTGTACCCCCGCTCGGCGGCGGGCCTTGGAGCATGGAAGAGGCACACTACAGCCATCTCGTGTTGATCCTTCTTGTCCCCTCTGCCTGTCGAGACGAGTTAGGCACTGTTTTAACCCTCTCAGGCAGCCCACCTGCCATGTCCTGCTCCCCCCCCCCCCCAGGTCTGGTGGCTTTGCTGAGCTCTGGTGCCGCAGTTCCAGAAGGACTCCTAGGGTCCCTTGAACGAGGATGGGAGCTCCATTGTCCTCCATGGGGACAGTGTACCCCTAAACCCAACTTTGTCTGTTTGTCTTTTCTTAACCAGTCTGTAAACCTTTATAGTTTGGGGACTGTCCTGTCCATCCGTGTAAATGTAAATGTTGACCTAGTTGGTATTTATTCTAATTTTTATTTTATTTTATTTTCTCTGAGGGGTGGGATTGTGGGAACTGTACCACTGATCATGCCCTGGGCAGCTGCAGAGGCCCAGGCCCAGATGGCTTGGCCGCCAAGAGGAGCAGCCCCCTGGGGCCACCCCAGACAGCCGCCTCCAGGAAGCTCAGTCCCAGGCCGTTATCTGGCAGGAGAAGCTGCTGGTGTTCCTTGTCCCGCAGACACTCAGGCCTGCTGTGGCATGGTGTCCCTCAGCTGCCAGACACTCACTCTGCTAGGAAACGTCTGGCTGGGCCTTGAAGATGCAGTTCAGAGAGAAGACGACTCTCTGCTCAGGACGCTTACATGCAAGGGCCGGCCGCCTCACCCGAGCCAGCTGGGAGCCGGACGGCAGGACCTACCTCCCTGGAGCAGGGGTCTGGGGCTTCCCACCAAAGCTGCAGTGGAATTCTGCTCATGCTGACACCTTTCCCCATTGGTATGTCCTGCTTTCCAGCTGAACCCAAACTCCAAGTGGGTTTAAAAAAAATAAACAATACCAAAAACCAAAAATGCCCTGAATTTGTGTCCTTTGTGTGTTCAACAAAGAAACTATTTCCCAAAGGCTTTGTGCCTTGCTCAGCTGGGGCTGGCAGAGGCCTCTTAGGAGCCCTTTCCAGGCGGTGAGCTAATGAGAAGAGTCCCCACAGTGTGGCCACCGTAGGGAATAAGGGCAGGACCTGGGGGCTGGTGACAGTTATAAAGCCACTGGTCCAGGGAAATGTGGGTGAAAGAGACTTCTGCCCTCAAAGCTGGGCGCTTTGGCCTATCCACGGTACTAGAGTTTCTTAGAGAAAATAACTTTCATAGTACTGTTTGAGTTTGCTGCATATCTAACTTCTTCACCACCACCACCTACCCATTCCCAGGAAATGTCCCTGTGGCATTGGACAGTGACTCCTTTGAAGAAGGCTGGGACTTGGGCCTCATAGCTTCCAAAGTTTGTAGCAAGGGGCTCTCTAGTCCCAGCTGATCAAATGGGTCTTTCATCAAAGAATGCCAAAAGGGCCGTGATTTGTTTTCCTGTGATGACATGTTGCTCACTAAACACAGTCTCCCATAGCAAGGCAGTAGGGATGCTGCCTCCTGGTAACAGAATCCCACTGGGATTCTTTCTGCCTGGAACTTGCCCGGTCTTTCAGCTACTCAGGTGGTGGCCAGAGTGTCCACCCTTCATCCTCTCCTGTCCTGGCTGCTGAGATTCGGCTGTTGACTGTTTCTGAATCATATCTCTCTGTGACACTGCATGGGGAGAGCACAAAACATACAGATTGGGTAGAAGAAAATAAAATTTTAATTAAATAATTGAGATATTTGTCAAGCCACTTTTTTTAACAAAATGCAAAAGAGTAGCAGTAGAAATTGAGGGGTCAAAAAGAAAAGTGTTTGAAGTTACGTTAGAAGTTGTAAAGAGGAAGTCCTAGCAACAGTCCACTTAAAGCGAGAGACTGTTCTGAATGGTTTAGTGCTTCTTCTGACGGTTCTAAATGCTCCTGATGAAACCTGTTATCCAAACAGAGTTTCAGTCCTGCATTTCACCACCATCTCCGCTAACGTGTGTTCTCTGTCATTTTGAGAGAGTTACATTTGCCCTGAATCTATAGGAAAGCAGGAATCAGAAATTTTATTTTGGACAAATAAGCTAGATCATAGGCACACACATACACCACGAGAGTTGTAAAGACCTTAAAGTACCACAGTAAAAATAGTGGACAAGGCACACCTTAGTGTTAATGATATTATTTCCTCAGTTTCCCCTCTGGCATCAGAGTCTCCCATAGACTGTCTCAGTTGGTCTAGTGAAGCAGTCAAACAATATGTTCTTTGCTTTAGTTTTCTGCAGTGCTGGAGGCAGAAACCTAGGCAAGTGCCCACCACTGAGCTACACCCCAAGCCCAGACACTGATTTTGATTCCCATTTTACAGATGAACCAAAGGCCACCCAGTGGGAAAGCCAGAGCCCAATGTGATAACCACCTAGTCCTTCTGTCCCCAACTCCAGTCAGTCACACCACAAGACAAACAAGCAGCCCACTTACCTGCCGAGATTGCCCGGGAAGGCCACACAGGCTTCTCTGTACCCATGAAACCAGGGCCGTGAGCAAACAGCTATCAAGAGAGGTGGGCAGGAGAAAGATGGTGCAGTTTGGTGCTGTTGTGGAAAAAGATCCATCATAATATGTGCCATCGTCCTGAGGGAGTTTAGTTCCCTCTAGGGCAGTGGCTCTCACATGGGTGGACAGTGAGGGAAAATTCAGGATGATGCTTCAAAGCTTGGGGCCAGATTTCACACTTGCCCAGAAACCTGATCAAGCTACAAGCTCAAACAACGACTCACGTACACCAAAAATTTATGAATTCTGGCTTTACGCAGGCATCTTCTTCTGGTAGGTGCATGCTGTACCTTGGATGGAATGCCAGAGAAAAGATGGTTGAAATCTCCCACCCACCTCTCCAGGAACATAGTGCCGTGATGACCATGAGAACTGTCACAAGTCTTGCAGAGCTCACACCTGGGAACAGCAGGCCATGTGACTGCTTTCTTCTACATTGAAATGGGATCAGTTAGCACATTTGCAGTGGGGTGAGAGCTCACAGTGAACTGCTTGAGTGTGGCATAGACCATGGACTTAGGGCTGCATTCTGATTTTCATGGGTCCTATGAACTTTTTCTATCATAGGTCCTTTCCTCTAAAAAAATAGATTTTATAACTGTGTGTAATAAAGACAAACATTAATACTATTTATTAACACATCTTCTGCAACTAGAAGTTTTCTGGGGTTTTTTGGTTGTTGTTTTGTTTTGTGGGGTTTTTGATACAGGGGCTTGCTATGTAGCCCAGGCTGGCCTTGAATTCACAGAAGTCCTTCTGCCTTAGCCTCCTGAATGCTTGGATTACACGTGTGCACCATGACAACTGGTTTAAATTCTAATTTTAGACACTTTTTTTGTGTACCCAGGAATCAAACTCACAACATTGTGCTTGCCAGGCTGATGCTTATGCTGCTGAGCTATATTCTCGGTTCTTAAATTCTGACTTTAAAAGAAAACATTTTGGCTAGGCATGATGGTGCATTGCCATAGTCCTAGCACTCAGGAGGCTGAGGCAGGAGAATCACCATGAGTTCACGGTCAGCCTGGACTATATAGTCTAAGCTACTTAGTGAAACCTTGCTTCAGAAACAAAAACAAAAGAAAACATTTTGTGGGCCTCTAAAAGCGTTAAGTGTCTTAGTCTGTTCAGACTGCTATAACAAAGTGTCATCAACTGGGTAGCTTACAAACAAAAGAAATTTATTTTTCCCAGTCCTGGTGGCTGGAAGTCAAAAATGAGGGTAGCAGCAGAGTCTAGTCCTAATAAAGACCTTCCAGGTTGCAACCTGCTGCCTTCTCACTGTATCCTTACATGGCAGAAATTGAGTGAGAGTTCCTTGGGGTCCCTTTTATAAGGCACTAACTCCAACCTCGAGGACTCCATCCTCATGATTTTCCAGTGGCTTTATGTCCAAATACTATCATTTAGGCATTAGAATTCCAGCATATTTATTGGGGGGTGAGGCACAACCACTCAGTCCATAGCAGCACCTATGCACTCTACCTAACGAGAAGAGGCAGGCTCAGCAGGTACCTGGACAAGGAACCCCACCATGCTCCCCTGCTGCCCTTCTGGGCTCAGGATGACTGAACAGCAGGTGAGGGTGGTCAAAGTGGCAGCTGACACCAGAGGTTCCCAAAGAGGCAGCTGGCTGACTCCAGAAGCCAGTGCTCTAGCTGCTTCTACTCTATGAAGGGCAAGGCCAGTAACCATGCTTCCCCTGCCTGGGAGTCGCCACTGAAGCCAAATCATCACACCATGCTGTCTTTTCTCATAGCCCTTCCCATGCAGTCTGCTCCTTTGAAGGAAGGATATACAATTCTTCTTCCCCTTTCACAGTTAGAGAAACTGAGGTCTAGAGAGTCAGAGTAAATGGTACTTTGTAGATTTCATATGTCTGATCTTATTTGACACAACCAGGTGCCAGGTGACAGACACTTTTAACCTCGTTTTAAAGACAGAGAAACAGGGTCTGTGAAGCAAAGTGACAAACCCTTATCATGTGATCAGTAGCCAGAAAGAAGAGACCTTGAAAACTGCTTTCTTAGTCCTGAGATAGGACAAGTCTGTATGTGTGGACCTGGCTGAGGATCTACACGCCTGGTCTCCTCTACTCAAAGCCACCTTTGTGCCTCATGCCCTTGCCTAGTCCCTGGTATGCAGCTTATACCTCCTTCTGGCCCACCCTTAGGGTACCCATGTCCCCAGACTCTAATGGGTCTCTTTCCCCACCCATTGCCCTAGTCACCGAGTCCTGAGCACTCACATCTCTGTTTCCTGTATTTCATACAAGCATCCAGGCTGTGCGTGTGCTTAGCCCTAGGTAACAGATGAAGTCTTAGAATATGGCCAGCTGACCTAAAGCGGAAATGTTTGCAAGTGTTATCCTCTTGGCTGCCATCACCTGAGTACCATCACCCGTCTAAACACTTAAGAAAAAAAAAATCTCACTTGTGTGAAGGTTCCAGGAAAACAAGCAAAGGTCAAGATCCTGAAGCACCTCAGTGTCATTGGTTTCCAAGGCAGCTGAGAACCCAGCAGCACAGCCCAGACGCACTGGTGGCCCGGCCCAATTTCTGATCCCTGATGCAGAACCCTGCCAAGGCATCCCCGGTGCTGCATAGACAACAGTATCTGGCACAGGTTCTCACCGTGCCCATGTAGGTCTTGCTCAGCCTCACTTCCTGGCCCCAATGGGAGGCGACCACCATTCCCCTGTCTTTCTAGAACAAGCCAGGTGGAACCCAGTGCCAAGGCTTGGTGAGGAAAACCATGCTGCAATGCTGAAAACAAACTTGCTCGATTGCATTCCCCCAAATAACAAAAGTTACACTAAAGCTATTGATGGTCCAATGGTAAAGACATTTGTACCCAAACACAGATCCTTACTAGTTTGCATGTTCTTTTTTTTTTTTTTTTTCTGGTGGCTGAAGGGAGTGAGCCGATGGTGATGAGTACTACAGTAAATAATCACACCCACAGAATTACAACTCATAACACACGAGTGTCAGCCCCAGTAATCACCAGTGTGGCTTACTGTCACTTGGGAGAATTGTCAACACTTTTCAGTTAAGTGAAACCTTGTGCCAAGGGGTTTAGGAAGACCATCCTTCTGGACCGAATTGAAAGGCCTCCCATAAAATCCAGTCTCCTCTTCAGGCACTGGGGTCTCCCTCCCAGGAACAGGCTCTGCTCAGTGGGAACCAGGGACCTGGAGCTCCTCAGATGAGGAGCCCAGTTCAGCACCTCCAGCTCCTGGAGTGGGACAGGGGCTCCGGGCACGGTCCTGGAACCCCTGATGATCTAGAAGAAGGTACAGGTCACAAAGGTACCTCAAAGGTGAATGAAGGGCCTGGGATTTAGCTCAGTGGTACAGAGCCTGCCTAGCAAATGCAAGGTCCTAAATTTGATTCCTGG